GGGGGGATCAAGAGGACAGGGTGAGGTTCTTTACATCAGTGCCCAGCGACAGGCAAGAGGCAGCAGACACAAACTGAGTAACAGGAAGTTTTGTCCGAATATGAGGAAAAACTTACTGACTGWGAGGGTAGCAAAGCCCTGGCACAGGCTGCCCAGGGAGGCTCTGGAGTCTCCTTCTCTGGAGATCTTCCAGACCYGCCTGGATGCCGCCCTGTGCCCCGTGCTCTGGGTGTCCCTGCTGGAGCAGGGGGTTGGACTAGATGATCTCCAGAGGTCCCTTCCAACCTCAACCATTCTGTRAMGTTACATCTAGAAGCRRAAAGCAATCTGTTTGGGCGTGAGGGAGACAGCAGAGCATCCTTCTGTTGCTAGAATGTTCAGTCGCATCCCCCTCAGGCACTTCTAAAGTTTATTGTGCTGTGAAGGCTGAGATGTGGCTGTGTTGGGAGTAACTATATTTGTACTTTGCCAATAGCAGTGAACAGCTTTTTTAGTAGCTAGACTTTTGTCTGTTGGGCAGGCTAATGTTGATTTCTGCGTTTGCACTGGNAAAAAAAAAAAAAAAAAAGCAGTTTGGAGATTTTCACTGATATACAGAAATTCATAACTATTGTTAGCTGTCACAGCAAACTGGAGAATCAAATTCCTCTTTGAACCAAAATGTGGCATGTTCCCTGCAATTTAAGCACAGAACTCCCCGTTGTCTTGAAATACATGTCTGCAATGAGCATGTTTCCTGGGATCCAAGGATACTGGGATGTTCTGTGCTGACCCAGGAGGGTAACYCACAAGACAAGACCACCCTTGCCAGAGTTGGCAATTGCTTCAAGATGAGTTTCCATTTTGAAAATGCAGTGAAAGGAGGTTTTGACTTAAGTGGAAAGAAAAGGGTAAGAAAGGGAGGAGTAAAGTGCAGGGGGTACCATATTAGCTGCTGCRAGGGTAATTGGTCTTGCTAATCAACTTGTTCCTGCATTGTGGAGGAATGCGGGTGAGCTGATCTGTGTCTCTCCCTAGGATGGTCTGGACAGAACCCTGTGTTTGGAAGAACACTTGTAAGAAGGTACCAGGTACACAGTTCGTAACACTCCTTTGTGCATTGGCTGTGTGCACATGCACGCATTAATTAGCTTTTAATACCCAGATCCTCCAGAATCCCTTTCTGTACAGCTGCATTTTGTTTAATGACTAGATTTTGTCCTTTGCTTCCTTTAAATGCCATCTCATAGCTTCCGTTTTAAATCTCTGGTTCCTCTATTGTGATCTTAGCATTGCCTTAAATCTCCCTAAGCCCATCCTTGCCTCCGCCACCGTAGCTTAAGGACCCTGCAGCAGAGCCTCTCTGACAGCAACCCTCTACCTGAAAATGTAGGAACCAAGTGAAACAAAAGCACAGTTTTGCCAAGAGGGCAGGCCAGCTTTTGGAAGAAAAAAACACAGAACCTCTCTGTGGTATCTTTAAATYGAAGAAACTTCCGAGTATCACCGAGCATGAGAGAGCACCAAGACAGCCGCAGGCCTGCAGCACGAGCACAGCAAGGCAGCTGGAGAGCTGTCAAAGAAACGTTCGGGGCACAACTGCGGCTGCAGAAGTGTTAGAGCGCTGAAGCCTCCCTTGGGGTGAAGCTGAGCATGTGCCTAATGGACTGAAAATCACCGAGCCATCGGCATGTACCCAGCTGCAAGGAACCCACTGGTTGGACACGGCTGCTCCGTAAGGAGGCAGCTGGCTTGAGTGCTGCCTGGGCAAGCTCAGCCTGGCAGCACTTCTACACATCATGGTAGCTGAGCCTACTGTGCTGCTCATGGACCGTGGCACTGATCAGTAAGGACAGCAAATCTTGGCCTGTAGCGAGTAAACATAGTGTGTTGGTAACAACGTATTAAATCTCCGGGCAATACCTGTTAGACACGGCACAGAGTGGCACAGGGAGATGTTACTGATAACTTAGAGCTCCCAACTGGACAGAAACAACCATATTCCCATCACCAATTTGTGTATGTGACTTGGTCACTGCCACCTTGGGCCGCGTGCACCAGGTTTCWCATGCAACAGTGATGAAACCAAATCTTTCACTCAACAAAAGCAACTTGGGACAGTACTTTAGTTCCARCTCAAGTCCTGACTGCAGGGGAGGTGTTCCTGTGACAAGTCAACAGGCTTGCAGGGGTTGCAAGGGCAGCGCAGCAGTCAAAGCCCACCAAAAAGGGAGTATGGAGGTTTTAAACGTCACACTGATGAGGAACATGCCATACTGTGGATGAGTATTTCCCTCCACAGATAACACAGTTTGTACAAGAAAATGTAAAACTGGGCTATTACACTTAGTTATTTTAAAAATTGCCCAGATGCTACTCATGTTTGCCTGGAGAGTGGGAGGGCCAAGTAATAACCTACGTGGCTGTTGAAGGATAAAACACAAACTCTCAGTGGAAAAATYTGCAGAAGAAACTTCAAGATCTGACAGTTTGCAGCTCAGCTGAGAGGTAGTTGAAATTACAACATGCATCTAAGCTSTTTCCTTAGGAAAAGAGCTGGCATATATTTAGAAACAGACTCTACTCAGCACTACCCAGCACATGATAATGCAATGAGAAGGAAGCCTACCACGGCTATTTAGTTTTTATTTCATAGCTTTAGCAGCATCACACATACTTCTCAGTGTTTTGCATGCCTGCAGTCTGATGTGAGGCCTGAAGATTATATCCTAAAGATTTAGAGGTCTAAGGCTGTCAGTGTACCAGAAATGTTAATTCTGAGCATGAGAGTAAACATAAGAGAATCCGGAGGCAGCAATTTTTCATGATTCATGTAGGTTTAAGAGCTAGATCTGTAGTACAAATTAGTGCTTTTCATGCTTAGGAGGTATACAAATGACAGTGCTATGAAAGCAAACTTTCACTACTGCACAATCAAATATTTACAGGTAATTGGATGCAATTATCCTGGAGTTTTAAGGCTGTTTAGGTGTTTGCATTAATGACATTTAAAAGGACTGCATATAAATAAAAATGTTGATTTAAATAGATAGCATCTTGAAACGTTTCTAAAGAGGCTATGTGAGTTCTAGGTGAAGCTATGGTTTGAGGCAGGATATAATAAAATGCTGATTTTATTATCAAAGCTAATATGACTCGAAGACCTTCCTGATGGCGGCAGCTGAAATATAGAGGAAATGAGAAGGGAAGAGACTAGGAGGAGATATTCAAAATTGTTAGTGAACTATAAATGCCTTCCATGGAGTAATATGTCAAACCAAATATTGAGAATACATAAATATTGCAATTTCCATTCCTCTGTATTTTTCAAATTACATCTCTTTCAATATATTTTGACACCCCTAGACAAAGATATACTTTGTAAGACTACACCTTTTTATCCTATCCTTTGTGATATGGATCTGAAGTAACTAGTAGGAGAGAAAGCTGGAAAAAAGAATCTTGWAGCTAGAAAACCTTCCAGCTGATACCCTCACAAATGACGACGCAGTAACGTTAAGATGACAGCACTAACAGAGACAGGATCTACTTTAGAACCAATTAAGCACGTAGCCAAAGGTTTGCTGCTTTTTCTTTTTATGCAATAATGGCTAGAATAGAGCTGTGAGAAGCTGAGATAGAAAATAATAAAGCTGGGGGAAAGGCCACGGAAGCACCCAGGTTATCACTGCTCATGTCACCACTAGGAAATGGCAAACTTGGTAGCCAAAGTCAAATTGTACTCCAGCGCTCCTAGGGAAGGTGATGAAAAATACCCAAATTTTACTGCTGTTTTTTTGTAAAAAGAAAGAATGAAAAAAAAAAGAAGGAAGGAAGGAAGGAAGGAAGGAAGGAAGGAAGGAAGGAAGGAAGGAAGGAAGGAANAAGGAAGGAAGGAAGGAAGGAAGGAAGGAAGGAAGGAAGGAAGGAAGGAAGGAAGGAAGGAAGGAAGGAAGGAAGGAAGGAAGGAAGGAAGGAAGCCACACATTTGGATTACTTACAGTTCCCTAGGTTTTGCTGTCCCCCTGTCCACATTTATTTTTAAAGAAGTTTAACCAGCTATTAAAGAAAAAATAGCTTAGGAGGAAATTTTGAGTTTGTTTTGCTTTTGAAAAACAAAAGGTGACTTTTCTGTCCTTCCCTCAAATCCAGACCATCTAAAACATAGGCAAATGCTCAGTTTTCAGGAAAATAAAATTCAGATGAAAAATAGTGACTAGTTCTGTTGGTTTCCTGCAATTGTCTTGCTTCCTGGAACCACATGTCCAGTAAGATGTGTTTTGATGGCAAAAAAAATCTTAAGACAGCAATTCGTATCTCCCAAATCTTAAAAAAAAAAAAAAAAAAAAAAAAAAAGTATTTAAACTGGCGAAAACCCTTGGGTGATGCAGGAATCCCTGCGTCTGGATCAGGATCTGTGTTTCTGACTTTCTCTTGTGAACTTTAGCAAACCCACAGCTCGTGACAGGCACCTGCAGCTTTCCCTTGCAGGTTTCATAAAGAAAATGGGCCGATGACCTAGCTCTGCTACGGAAAATGACAAAAGCAGGCTCAGGAATTACTGCTTTTTATGACCGCATCCCTACAGTTGTTAATGAAGGGCTCATTTTGCCAACTGGGGAGAAGACACCCAGTTCCTGCGAGCTGCCAGTGCCTCTGAAACGCGCTACGGAGCGTTTCCCAGCAAAACCTTGATCCCTTCGCACGTGGAGGCTCCCGCCGCCAACGCCGCCAGCCCGACACRCCGAAACCCTCCCAACGGCGGTTCTCGCTTAGCGTTTTTTGCCTCCTCCCTCGGAATTTCACGATTAAAAGCTCCGTCGCTAACGCTCCGGCTACGAGGGCGCCTCATGGCGGCCGAGCCGCACGCCCAACGGTCGCCGCGCGCCGCCCAACGGTCGCCGCGCGCCGCCCAACGGTGACTGCGCCTTTAAGCGTCCGGGGGAGGCGGCAGCGGGTTCCTGCGCAGCGGGGCCGCTCGCTCTTCCCTTCCTTCCTTCCTTCCCTGTCCTTCCTTCCCTCCCTGCTTCCCTCCCGCAGCGCCGGGAGAGCGAGCAGGCGGGCGGGGAGCCGCGGCCATGGCGCTGCCGGTGCTGCCGGTGCTGCCGCCGCTCCTGCTGCTGCTGCTGGAGGCGGGCGGGCTGCGGGCGGCGGAGCGGAGCAGCAGCAGCAGCGCCATGGAGGAGATCGCCACGGAGAAGGAGGCGGAGGAGAGCCACCGGCAGGACAGCGTGAGCCTGCTCACCTTCATCCTGCTGCTCACGCTCACCATCCTCACCATCTGGCTCTTCAAGCACCGCCGCGTCCGCTTCCTCCACGAGACCGGCCTSGCCATGATCTACGGTGCGTGCGGCCGGGCTCCCCGCGGCCGCGGGCTGCGGGGTCCCCCGAGCGCGGAGCCCCCGTGCCGGCTGCGAGGAGAGGCCTCGCCCCCGGGGAGGGAAAGGGCACCCGTGCTCGGTCCGTGCTTGGTATATCGGGGGAAAGSGGGGTTAATATCAGGGCTGGTTCCTGGCCTTTCTGTGCTGCTGATATCTTTCCTTGGCGCAGAGGGCAGGGAGGGAGGCGATGCAGCCTGCCCCTTTGTGCGGGCCGTGGCCCAGGCGATGGGAACCGCTTTCTCCCCAGGCAGTGCCGTGTCTGAAGACAGGATCTGTCATTATCCGCCGGCTTTAGAGCGCCCCGTGCTTGAAAGATGTGGCACCTTCATAAAGCGCTCTGCTTTAGAGAGGTGGCTGCTCRGAAAGGTGGTCTCTGCTTTAGAAAGGCAGCACTTTCATGCACCTCTGTGCTTTGGAGAGGTGGCCTGCTAAGGGATGTTTTTAGCAATCTGAAGTACTGGGCCATGCAGGCCATCACAATAGTTCTTCTGGAGAGCGTTGTGCTTGCGGGGCTGTGGCACACGCTCCGTGAAAGGAGCCTGTTTAAACTTTGATGCTCCCGGTCCTGCTGCCAGCAGGCTGCTGCTTTCTTATCACGGACAGCATGGGTTTACTGGTTACCAATTAGCTGCAGCGAAACCAGATAGGCCGGGAAGCTCGTGCAGCGGGTCCTGAGCCTGGTTGAACAGCGCCTGTGCGGAGCGCAGCTTCTCCTTAGCAGCTTCCAGCCCTTCCTCCCCCAAACGCCTGGGAAGTGGAAATAAGTGTCTCCAAAGAACATATGTTCTCACCTGCTCCCTGTGCAGATGATGGTTCGGAGAAGCTGGGCTCTGTGTTGTTGCTCTTAATGACTGGTGCAGAGGACTGCAGGTGAGCCCGAGCTGCTGCGCGTAGTGCTCGGCTGTGCACTTATGCAATTGTATTTGTGTGCGGTTTGCTACGCAGAACTTAAACAGTTGTGATGAGAGGCAGTCATCCATTTAAAAAATGATTTGTCTGGYGGTGATTGGTTACGGCCGCAGTGCCCGGGGCACTTCTGCTCCCTCGCTGGCTCCATCCGTTCTGCCTGAGCAGTGCGAAGCACCTCCTCGGTATCGGTTGGGACATGCATATTCTGGATAACCACAGAGGAGAAATTCTGCACTCAAGGGGAGGAAAAGGAACTGCTTCCTCCCTGATGAGTAGTACTACTGCTCCGGAGATCTCTGGGATTGCTTGCGAAGCAGTGGAATTTTCCTCTGCTGATGTTTCTCTTAAACCATCCCATTTTGCTCTTAGTCACTATCTCTTTGCTGCACTGCTGTATGTTTCATTTTGCTGAAAATTGATGAGCTGAAGAACATATATATAAAAGGGAATTATGCACTGTCATAATAATACTTACAGCTGAGTAATGCTCAGGAGAGGGTTATTATAGAAATGCTAATTGGAAGAGACAGCGTGAGGTTGTACTGCAGATGTTCAGATATTATCCCAGCTCGGTCACCTTCAGAAATTTTGGTTAGTTATGGCTAGAAATGTTTCAGTGATTTAGAAGGTTTATGTTTTTGTCAGAGAAGTCTTGGGTACAGAAGGTGTTGAGCTGCGTAATCTGTGTAAAGCAAATAATAGGACATCAAGGGCATTTGAATATACRTGGTGCTGAGTTGGGATAGAAAATACAAAATTCTTCCCCTTGCCTTTCCTTATACTTGAATGATTTTACTGTAACTTCCAGTTCCTGGTATTTGAAATGGGCACTAGATTCCTAATTGGAATGAGAAAGTGCTCATTTTCTGTATTAAATAGGGTTCTATATTATAGCTCTTTCTGCACCACAGGCAATACTGCCAGATCATTCCTCAATGTCTCCACCTCCTAAGTGAGTCCCTATAGTATCCCAGGAGATRAGCTTCTCTCCATCCCAGACAAACTGACTTTTGCCATGTCATGGCAAACCTCTGTGGAAAAATGTTTAGAGARTTTGCGGGGGCCGGGGTGTTGTTTATTTTTTAACATGGCTAGTCTTCATACCAATAAAGCTGCGCTGGGGCAGCTTCAGTTAATTTTTTCAGGTTTCCTTTGGAACAAAGGAAATTATAGCAAGTGCCCTAGTAGCTGTCTGTTATGTTTCAGACAGTCAAATTTTATTCTTCAAATAAGATATTSTTTTCTTTGCTTGGTGTTTAATGGAGACTAGTTAAACTAAAAAAATGTTTGTATTTGCTGATAATATCTGAGAAATGCATGTCTTTTAAAATGTGCACCTGTTTAAAATGTACATGTACTTGGTCTGACTTGCACACAGAGACACATGGCAGTATTTAATCCAAAGAGTTTGGGATCCTATGAACACAAGCACCTAGCCTGAGGGCTCTGGTTAGGGTGGTAGGTGCTCTCATAAAGCTGCACTTAATAATCAATGTGTTAATAGTGTAGGCTCCAAACTCTGCATGCTAGCTGGCTCTCAGATGGTTTCAAGCTCAGGTCTCCAGAACTTGAACCCATTTGTATGTGATTTCTCTCAGTACAAAAGAAAACAATGTTTTTTTTTTTTTCTTCTGCATCACAGAAAAATGATGTGCTACCCTAGTAAAAGGCTTCCATTTACAAAAGAAGCAGGCTAGCACTTAAACTCTGGGTTAATTTTTATTGCAGAGAAAATAATCTGGAAAAACGGCTTGCAGCGCCTAAGTGCCTTCCCAAACAATTGTTTTCAAAGTAGTTGGTTTCAAATCCTTAGAGGTTGTATTAGGTCGAAACCTGATAGCGTGATGCGCTTCACTTGTGCAGCTCAGGACTGAAAGTCTTGTCGATTGCTGTAAGCAAACGTGGCTGGATTAACGATGAAAAAATACAAGTGATCCATGTGTTCTGAGACCCTTTTCACTAGGGACCACGGGAATCGGGTGCAGGACAGCGACCTGAGACTCGGAGCAGGAGCCGCTCCCAGCCACTGCTTTAACCAACATTTCTCACTTTTCTCCAAATCTCGATCTGAGCACATCCTGTTCAGGTTTTAAGGTGCCTCTGCTGTAGATTGGACCATGTGGCAGAAGCCACAGGAAATGAATGGCCTRTGCACCTTGAGAGCTCTAGGAAAAATTGTTGTTGTAGGAACCAGCTAGAGACTGAAGAGGAAGTATTTCTTTCCATAACCTTCATGGGAATTGGAACRTATCTACAAGCAGGCTCCAGTTCTGTGCTGTTGCAGAGCCTGTGCTTGCCTGCCCTCACAATGTGCCTGCCATCTCTGTCCATGTGTCTGCATGTGCAGGGTTGTATTGATAAGGGCATGTTGAATAGAGGGTGCATAGCCTTGTCCCGGGTRCACAGATTTGTTAGGTCAGATAGTGGGAGGGTGCTCTGCAGCACACTAGGTTGGTCTGGGCTCTAAAGGGGTCTGAGACTTTCTGTAGTCTGTTTGAGAAGACTTCTTGCAATCACGCTTACCACCACCACCACTCCCCTTGTCATCAGAATTAAACTCTAAAGAAGCCCTCCAAGAAGTCTCCTTAAAACAACACAAGGACTGAGTTCCTCTGTGAATGCAGAACTTCTGTGGCAACTGCAGTAGTCTCTGCGCTTCATGCAGATGAGAAGACTGAAGAGGAAACGATGAGGATGATGTATAAGAGTTGACAAGTCCTACTGGTATCCAGTGTTCAACTGTGGTGCACTGGCACTGCTAGGCCTGCTGGAACAAGCAGCGTGTGGTGGAGATGGCAGCAGCTGTCCAGCAGCTAAATAACACACTACCTGATTTTTTGGGTAAAGATGACTGGGTACCCAGAGGTGCCTGCCAGCCCCTTGCAGCCAGATAGTTCAGAAACACATGTGAAAATCTGTCTTCCTCGTGCTCAGATATCCCCACAACTATTTCTCAGGTACAGACGTTATCCCCATCTTGGTGCTGCTCTATTCAATAATAGGATTTTCATCCACCCTTAGGAGGAGATGGAGGAGGATATGGCAGAACATGTCTAGGTTTTTAGCTGTCACCCTTCTCTCTGATAAGGTAGGCTGTTGATTTATGGATGATCAGAGAAGGATAATAGGAACTTCTCCTTGACCATACTAACAAACAGATCTGTGTAGCAAGTGGCATGTAGTCTTGTTCCCAGGTGTAGTCACAATCCTGTGTTGGTATATGCCTTATTCAAAATAAAATGAGCAATTCAAACATAACAGTCTTTCTGATATTTAAKAAAAAAATCCATGCTAGACTATTTGAGCTGTGGCCTCTTTTGCCTATCTTATTTGCTGTGCTCTAGAAAGACGAGGACCTCTTAATGCTGAAGTCCCCAAGCAGTTAGGCACACCGCAGGGAGTGGTTTTGCACGCGCCTCCAGTTCACTTCTGCTGCCAGTCTTGTGCAGAGCTTGGTGCAGAAGGGTGACCTATCAACTCCTGCCTCGTGTTCCGTGTCTCTTGGCTTCACAGGCAAAGGTGGGAAGTTTTCTAAAGGCTTCAGCTGTATGTGTGCCCAGCTCCTACTTGTCTATGAAGCTGGCGTGACTAGAGGAGAGCATACACTTCACATCTGATTTGGAAGGGCTCAAACTCTTGCTTCAGGGCCTTGCCTCCAATCTGTGATTGCTTCTTGCAACATATGGAGATAGTTCTGGATGCCCTGATGGGATTTGCACCCCACCCTGGCATCTAAACAAATACTTGCTTGAACAGAGAAGGCAGTGCCCACTACCTCCCACTTAGTTAGGAACCAGGGATCTGAAGCAGGAATCACAGGTTGGCCATCCACAAAAACATGAAGAAACTCTCAGAGCTGTGGCGCGTTACAGGAGCCTTCCTGCAGGCAGAGTAGAGCTGTGTCTCAAACCCTTAGGAACTGGAGTTAAAAGTATTTTGCACTTCCCACCTATCCCTTTAGCCCTTTCCATAGACCATGGAAGCTCTTTCATTGGGTGCACGCTGACTGCTGTGAACCCTGCGCAGAGCTGAACTGTTCCTATGTACTCCAGA